ACCACTCCCAGCCCCATCCTCCTTTTTAATAGTCTTAAAAAATAAAACCGAGGCCCCGTGGTTTAAGTGAGGGACTTCAGAGGCCACAGATGACAGTCAAAATGTGAAATTGACATTCATTGTTGATTTCCATGTTATAAAATTATACTTTTTAAAATATATGTATATAATACATTAATTTTTATATATTTAATTTATATATTATTAAATATATAAAATTAATATATTAAATATATAAATATATTACATAATATATAAATTAATTTATAATATTATCTTGTAATATTTGGGCAGTATTGTAAAAGTGCCTAAATGCTGCTTAAAGATGGTGTCTTCTTGCAAACCTGTAAATATTACTTTTCCCCAAGCCTGGATTAGAGGAATGATGACAGTTAAAGAGGATAGGGAATACCTTTCTTCATTCATTAAAAACGGAAAGCAAAATTGTACATGTTTCTTTCTAAAAATGACATCTTTGCCACAAAATACATATCATGGTCTACAAGTCTTTTTTAATATTCTATATTAGAAATATATTACAAAAAAATAGTATTGCTTATCTTTTTTTAATTTTTCTTTATTTTTAAAATTTATTTTTATTTTTTTTAGAGACAGTTTCACCATGTTGGCCAGGATAGTCTTGAACTCCTGACCTCAGATGATTCACCCGTCTCAGCCTCCCAAAGTGCTGAGATTACAGGCGTATGCCACCACTCCGGGCCCCCCCCCTTTTTTTTTTCTTTTTTTTTTTAAGAGCATTGCTTATCTTTTAGTCGGAACTCACAGCTGTAAAACAGTTATTTTCTCATTATTGATATGCTATTTGTTTTTGCTTTTCATCTTTCTCTAATTCTTCCCATCTCTTTACTCCCCAAAATAAATACCTATTTACTAAAATCAATTTTTTGACCTCTAAATATGTTAGTTAATTCTTTGCTCTGAATACTTCTCACATTCCTAAGAGGGATATATTAAGATTATCACCATGTCTTCAGTGTGTTTGCCAATTCTGAATTTAAAAAAGGAAATTTCCTTGGCCAGTCACCATTAGGTTTTACAGCTTTCAACTGAAAGCAGGGAAAGGAGAAAAATAAAAAATAAAAATAAATAAAAAATATAAAAAAGAAAGCTAGGAAAGGAGAAAACAATGCTGACATTTATTGATAAGGAGAAATAAATAGTTGCTTAGGCATCAGGCATTTGTCTGTCATGTGAATTACAAATGTTTATTTGATTCAATACATTTTTATTGAGCCTTTTCTGCCTAAATGCCAGAAGCATGGTGTCAGTGACAGTGTCAGACGACAGAGATAAATATCACCTGAGCACTGTCCTCGAGGAGCTCATGATGGAATGAGAATGTAGACACAGAAAGTATAACAAAACAATATTAATAGAAAGAGAAAACATAGCAGTAAACTGATTTTGTAGAGTCTCTTTTGTTGCAGACTCTTTCATTTAAAGACTTTTACTCTGGAGCCTGGTGTGGTATCTCATCTCTGTAATCCCAGTACTTAGGGAAGCAGAGGTAGGAGAATCCTGAGTCCAGGAGTTTGAGACCAGCCTGGGCTAACTACTTGAGAAGGCGAGGTGGGAGGATCCCTTTTGCCGAGAGTTTGAGGTTACAGTGAGCTATGATTGCATGGCTGCATTCAGCTTGTGCTACAGAGCAAGACTCTGTCTCTTAAAGAAAATTTTTTAAAAATAGCAGGCAGGGCGTGGTGGCTTATGCCTGTAATCCCAGCACTTTGGGAGACTGAAGCAGGGGACCACTTGAGGTTAGCAGTTCAAGACCAAGCTGGCCAACAGGTGAAACCCCGCCTCTACGAAAAACACAAAAAGTAGGCCAGGCACATAGCACACACCTGTAATCTTAGCACTTTGGGAGGCCGAGGTGGGTGGATTGCCTGAGCTCAGGAGTTCAAAACTAGCCTAGGCAACATGATGAAACACCATCTCTACTAAAAAAAATACAAAAACTTAGCCAGGCATGGTGGTGGTGCCTGTACTCTCAGCTACTTGGGAGGCTGAGGTGGGAGAATCACTTAAACCCAGGAGGCAGAGGTTGCAGTGAGCTGAGACAACAGACCCTGTACAATCAGAGTGAGACTCTGTCTCAAAAAATAAAAACAAAGATATTTACTCTGATTAATTCAACCATAGTTTTAGAATCCTGACTTGATAGGACTTAATATGTTAATGGCATAAAGAGTAAATGAGTTTTTACTAGCTTTGTGATCCTGGCTAAGTCACTCCATCTTTTTGGGACCTTTGTTGCTTTACCTGTAATATGGTCATAATATTTTTTCTGCAGTCTTCATCATATTTTAAGAAGCAAATTAAGTACAGGTAGCCTAGTGAAAGTACAAACTGCAAAGAGACTAATAAGAGTAACATAGGGATGTAATCTCCTTCTTGGTTCCCTTGGTCTAGCTAATCAAGTATCTTTCTGGGCACCAAAGTATGTCTTCGAAGATCTAGTCACCAGCAAGCTAGTCTCTTAGAAATGGGAGATGTTTTCACAGAGATAAGAATGCATCTTTCACCAGTCATTTATTATAGCATTATTGTTTCAGAAAGACAGAAAGAACATATATGTACTATAACAATTACATTTTCATTTCTTTTCTTTTTACTTCACACCCCTCCTACAGGAAGCTCAAAGACCCTAAAATCATACTAATATACCTTAAAATATTTAACGTGCATGAGTTGTTTCAGTTCTTTGAAGGTGCTATAATCTGGTTTGCCTTTGTGTTGTTTGTTTCTTATGTAAACTCATCACGTTCTCTGAAAAACCTCCATCTCCCTTCCAAATCCTGGATCTCCTATTGGACTTCAAGGATTAATAAAGCTGCATCATCTTGAGCTGACTTGCTCCAAGGGTTTGTCCACTCAAATGGATGTAGTTTGTTATATAAAGTGATTCCCAGGAGGTTGGCACAAAATCCCTCTGTACCGTAGTTCAGAAGATTAAGTTAATTTATGACCTATTATGAAATGCAAACATTTTTCTTGAAGGTTCTCGAGGTGTTTGGAAATATAAAGCTGACAATTATACAAAGAATGAATTGGAATAGCAGGAAGTAGAGAAACTGGTTAGGAAGGTTTTGCATCCGCTCACACATAAGAAGGTGGAAAAGAAGTAAAATCAGCAGGATGTGGGGAATCAATTAGATGTAGGAAATATTAGAAAAGAACTAGGGATGATGCCATTGTTTCCAGCTTTGTCATATGAGTAGCTGCTGAGGCAATACTCAAAATACAAAAATATATGTAAGAGAAAGAATAGTTGTGGCATGTGTTTATTTTAATGTAAGGTCAGTGTGAGTGGTTGGGTAAATATGTTTGAATTTCTAAATATTGATTTTAAAGTCTAGGTAATTGGAGGACACAGTCAAAATCAAACAGCAAATTGTTGGAAATACAAATGAAATTCAGGAATGAAAGTGAGGTTAAAGATAAATAAATGTGGAAAGTTAATGAAATTCAGGTAGTAGTTGAAGCCTGGAAGAAGATAAGCTTGCTTAATTAGGTCTGGTAGATAACCTGAGAGAGAAAAAAAGCAAAAGAAAATTTGTTCAAGAAAGTATTTAATGTTTTTTGGTTTTTTGAGTCCGAATCTTGCTCTGTCACCCAGGCTGGAGTGCAGTGACGCGATCTCAGCTCACTGCAGCCTCCACCTCCTGGGTTCAAGTGATTCTCCCGCCTCAGCTACCATGCCTGGCTAATTTTTGGGGAATCTTTAGTAAAGTCGGGGCTTCACCATATTGGCCAGGCTGTTCTCAAACTCTAGATCTCATGATCTGCCTGCCTCAGCCTCTCAAAATGCTGGGATTACAGGCATAAGCCACTGTGCTTGGCCTCTGCCTCTTATTTTAGATAACTTATGTCAACCACTTAATTCCAGTCTCTATCATATCTCACACTTGGCTGAATAGCCACCATCAGCATAAATAGTTGTTACAGCTTTTTCAGCACCTGGACTCCTACTACCAATGTTGCTACAAATAAAATGTCAGAATGAATCCAAGAGCAAATAGGTCTTACGTTACCTCTCTCTCGAAAGGCTCTCTTGATCGCTGTATCCTCCATGTGATGTACTGATTCTTTCCCCTTTTGGGATCCCGGAGCTTATTTAATTATAAAACGTGTATCATTGAATTGCACTCATTTGTTTGTTTCCTCCCTTTCTTTTTTAAATGTTAGATAGGTAATGTGCCAATGTTCTGACATTGTAAGAAGGTTTTTTTGTTTTGTCTTGTTTTTTTTGAGACAGAGTCTCACTTTGTTGCCCAGGCTGGAATGCAGTGGCACAATCTTGCCTCACCACTACCTCCACTTCCTGAGTCCAAGCGATTCTCCTGCCTCAGCCTCCAGAGTAGCTGAGACTACAGGCACATGCCACCACACCCAGCTAATTGTTGTATTTTTAGTAGAGACAAGGTTTCACTATGTTGGCCAGGCTGGTCTTGAACATCTGACCTTATGATCTGCCCACTTCATCCCCCCAAAAGTGCTGGGATTACAGGCGTGAGCCACTGTGCCCAGCCAAGGTCTGTCTGTCTTTCTTCTTTCTTTTTCTTTCTTTCTTTCATTCTTTCTTTCTTTCCTTTCTTTCTTTCCTATTTCTTTCTTTCTTTCTTTCTTTCTTTCTTTCTTTCTTTCTTTCTTTCTTTCTCTCTTTCTTTCTTTCTTTCTTCTTTCTTTCTTTCTTTCTTTTCTTTCTTTGTTGTTATTGTTGTTTTTGAAACAGAGACTTGCTCTGTGGCCCAGGCTGGAGCACAATGATGCAATCTCGGCTCACTGCAACCTCAGTCTCCTGGGTTCAAGTGATTCTTGGGCCTCAGCCTCCCAGGTAGCTGGGACTATGGGCGTGGCCCACCAGGACTGGCTAATTTTTGTATTTTTAGTAGACAGGTTTTGCCACGTCGGCCAGGCTGGTCTCAAACTGCTGGCCTCAAGAGATCCACCCATCTTGGCCTCCCAAAGTTTTGGGATTACAGAAGTGAGCCACCATTGTAACAGGGTTTGAGGAAGGTACTTCTCACAGATGCACGTGAAAAACCCAAACATCATGCTTATGAACTGCAAAAGGATCACATTCATTTCTTTAGAAAGCTGTCTGCCCTATCACATTGAACCCCCCTTTATGGACAGGGACTACATTTTATTTCTCTGTGCTTATCTGAGTGCCTAATACAATAACTAGTAGATAACACACTAACTATAGAGGCTTAAAAGATCTGTCTCTGGCCGGGCTGGGTGGCTCATGCCTATAATCCCAGCAATTTGGGAGGCCGAGGTGGGCAGATCACCTGAGGTTGGAAGTTTGAGACCAGCATGACATGGAGAAATCCCATCTCTACTAAAAATACAAAAAATTGGCTGGGCATGGTGGTGCATGCCTGTAATCCCTGCTACTTGGGAGGCTGAGGCAGCGGAATCGCTTGAGCCCAGGAGGCGGAGGTTATAGTGAGCCGAGATAGCGCCATTGCCCTCCAACGTGGGCAACAAGAGTAAAACTCCATTAAAAAAAAAAAAAAAAAAAAAGATCTGTCTCTACTGCTCTCTACTCCTAGTCTCCATCACCTCCAATTCATGGACACAGACATTCATTCACAGAGATCTGGGGACCTAGTTCACAGTCTTTGTTTTCTACCTCAACTCCTACCTTACTTTGCTAAGGTCAATATCCCCATCAATGGCTTATTGAGTATCCTTGCTTTTCAATCTCTGATTCCAAGAATGAGAAAGATACCTTAAATACTTTGCATCAATACCAAATTCTGCGTGTAATTCCTTAGAATTGTCCTTGAGAAAGTCCTACAATTATGTTAGTATAATTAGAATTTCAATATGAGTTTCTACCTATTAATGACATTACAACCAAATAAAAATATACTATTTTTAGGTGAACCATAATTTATTGTCCAAACGAGGACAAATTTTTATAATCTCTGCTTCTTAGTTTGATTGTTTAGTCCATTTACATTTAATGTTTTTTGTTGTTAGTAGTGGCGTTTTGAGACAGGATCTTGCTTTTTCGCTCAGTGCAGTGGCACAATCATACCTTACTATACACTCAAATTCCTAGGCTCAAGCAATTCTGCCACCTCAACCTAGCTAATTTTTAAATTTTTTATTCTTTGTAGAGACAAGGTCTTGCTGTGTTGATCAGGCTGATTCTGTAACTCCTAGGTTCAAGCAGTCCTCCCACCTCAACCTTCCAAAGGGCTGAAATTACAGGCATGAGTCACTGTACCTGGCCCACATTTAATGTTATTATTGATATATTTAATTATGCCATTTTGCTATTAGTTTTTCTATACATCTAACTTTTTTTGTTCCTCTGGTTCTTTTTTACTGTCTTTTCTGTATTAAGTGGATATTTTTGTAAAACTTTTTCTATGTCTTAGAAAGAAGTTCAAGGAAGATGCAATGCCTTTTCTTCTATTGGATATGATTATAGTAACCATGACAGCCATCCTTTAACTATGAGAGAATCTTGATGTTTAAGAAAGATTAGAGGAGCCTGGGGTTTTTAATGCCATTATGAAGGCTTTGAATTAACCAAGTCTTGGGCCATCCTACTTTCAAACATTATTGTTTGAGTAAGCAATGTCATTTTTGTGGAAGCCAGTTGACTTGAAATCTATAGAAGTAACTGAAAACATCCTAAGCTATTTTGAAAAGTAAATAAATATACTTGTTTCAGAAACACACTAGCAAAAGATAGGATGGAGCCACACCTAATGTCATGTGTTGTTGACTGTTGAAATAACCAACTATCTGGATCTGCACTGTATTCTAGCAGCAATGAGCCACATGTGATTATTGAGCACTTTGAAACACAGCCAACTCGAACTGAGAAGTTCTGTAAGTATAAAACAAATGCCACATTCTGAAGACTTAGACCAGAACAATAATAATATAAAATATTCCTAATAATTTTAATTGATTACATGTTAAAATGACAATATTTAGGATATACTGGGTTAAATGGAATATGTTAATGAAATTAACTTTGTTTCTCTTTAGTTTTTAAATGTGGCTACTAGAACATTTAAAATTACCTATGCTGGCGGGGCACGGTGGCTCACACCTGTAATCCCTACACTTTGGGAGGCTGAGGCAGGCAGATACCTGAGGTCAGGAGTTTGAGACCACCCTGGCCAATATGGTGAAACCCCATCTCTACTGAAAATATAAAAATTAGCTAGGCGTGGTGGTACATGCCTGTAATCCCAGCTACTTGGGAGGTTGAGACTGGAGAATGGCTTCAACCCAGGAGGCAGAGGTTGCAGTGAGCTGAGCTGGTGACGTGCACTCCGGCCTGGGTGACAGAGTGAGACTCTGTCTCAAATAAACAAATAAATAAATAATAAAATTACAGATGTCATTTCCAGTGGACAGCACTGATCTAGATGGAATCTAAGAATTGTCTGTCAATTGCTAGCTGAGGTAAGGCATAGAATTTCTTGAAAAGGTTTATATTAACACTTTTAAAATAGTATTTATATAGCATGATTCAACTATAAGTTACAACGTTTAGAAATTATCTGAAACTAGAGAAGGGGTAACCAATACATACTTGGTTTTGCCAGAATTTATTTTAAAAATCCAGAGACAGGCCGGGCGAGGTGGCTCACGCCTATAATCCCAGCACTTTGGGAGGCCGAGGGGGTGGATCACAAGGTCAAGAGATCGAGACCATGCTGGTCAACATGGTGAAACCCCGTCTCTACTAAAAATACAAAAATTAGCTGGGCATGGTGGCGCATGCCTGTAGTCCCAGCTACTCGGGAGGCTGAGGCAGGAGAATTACTTGAACCCAGGAGGCAGAGGTTGCGGTGAGCCGAGATTGCACCATTAAACTCCAGCCTGGGTAATAAGAGCAAAACTCTGTCTTAAAAAAAAAAAAAAAAAAAAATCCAGAGACTTAGAATTGATTATATAGAATCTAGTTTGCATAAATTCAGGATTTTTGTATCAGACCCTTACACATGTATTCTTTGTATCTTCCTCTTATTTCTAGGTTACTAAGTGATATGCAGGGACAAACCTATATTGTACTATTTTAATTCTTTAGATCAGAAATGTAAGTTCCTCTGATTCTAAAATCCTAGATTCCTGAGTTCTATGATTGGTTATGTTTCTAATAATAAGAAAAATTAAATTAAAACTTTATTTTAGAAGTGTAATTTGATTGGGCGCAGTGGCTCAAACCTGTAATTCACCACTTTGGGAGGCTGAGACAGGTGGATCACCTCAGGTCGGGAATTTGGGAGCAGCCTGGCCAACATGGTGAAACTCCGTCTCTACTAAAAACACAAAAATTAGCGGGCATGGTGGCAGGTGCCTCTAATCCCAGATACTGGCGAGGCTGAGGCAGGAGAATCACTTGAACCTGGAGGCAGAGGTTGCAGTGAGCCAAGACTGTGCCACAGCACTCCAGCCTGGGCAACAGAACATGACTCCGATTTAAAAAAAATAGTGTAATAAAAAAACCCAAAAAGAATAAAAGTGTAATTAACATTTGAAAAAAGTAGAACAGAGCCTGTGTTACGGGCTAAATTGTGTCCCTCCAAATTCACATGGTGAAGCCCTAACCCCCAGTACTATGTGAGAGATATTGTGACTATATTTAGAAATAGGGCCTTTAAAGAGATACTTAAGTTTAAATGAGGTCATAAGGGTGAGCCATAATTCAAAATGACTGGTGTCCTTATGAGATAAGGGAGAGGCATCAGGGATGCGCCCCCACAGAGGAATGATTATGTGAGTGCACAGCGCGAAGGCAGCTATCTGCCAGCCAAGGAGAGAGAAGTCAGAAGAAACCAAACCTTCCATTACCTTTGTTTTCAACTTGTAGACTCTAGAACTGTGAGAAAATCATTTCTCTGGTTTAAGCCATGCAGTATGTATTATTACATTACGGTAGCCCTAGTAAACTATGCCAGTCCCAGTAAAGCTTTAGGAATCTACAGCCTGATACAGACTATCCTTGTATTTCTATATGAAACTCTGAGGAGGAGGGTAAACTGTGTCCTTTCCCACATGCTTGAGGGCTGAAAACTAATCACCATGTGAAAATATTATTTTATCTTAGGGCTGCTTGCCAATATATGGATTTTGAAATTTTCAAAGTAAAATAATTGAATATATACATAAATTTTAAAAGTATATATCATGGCTGAATACCTGGGAAAGTAAATTTCCATATTTTAAGGATTTTTCAAAAAACCTCATCTGCATTCATTTTTAAGGAAAATAATTTATATAGATTTATTTATACAACTTTATTCAACAAAATATACTGATGTCTAGCAATGTATATATGCCCATTACAAATCTATAGCTATGGCAATGCCCAGTACAAATACGTAGCTAATAGTTATATATCACCAAGTTCATGTTTTCAGAACTTGGAACCACTATGCTAAGCATTTTGAAAGAAAAGTTCAGCCTACAAGGTTAAACTAAAATCTTCAATCTAATGACTGGAAAAGCTCCATATAAAAATTGATAGCAAAAGAAAAATATTTTGGATCTCTTGGAACAATAAGAGCATAATAAAATACTTGGATGTTTTTCTTGGGGCAGAAAATGTGTCACCCTTCAGGAGTAAGAAGAAAGACTCCATATGCTCAATTATAAGATGAAACACAATCGTCATCTGTCATATGTCTTCTTTCCTTTAAACAATCTAGTTTAGGATTAAGATTAAATGTCAGACCCAAGAGACCACACATTGCATCTATTTGTTATTGAACCTAAATGTCAAAAGATCCTTCAAGCAGAAGCAACATTTGGGAATCGCATCAGTATAATTTATTATCACATTTTTTGTCATTAGATATTAAGGCATATCAACCATAAATAAATACAAATTTTAAGTTCAAGTATTGTGAAACTCCAAACATAATTTTATCCTTTTAAAACATATATATATGTGTGTTTTATATATATATATATTATATATAAAACATATGTATATATATGTGTATATATTTCTTTTCTTTCTCCTCATCTACTGTGGAGGAATAAAATATAATTTACTTTGGCTCTTTAATGCTAGGTTTTCAGTTAGCATTTAA